CCCCAAAACCCCAAAACCCCAAAACCCCTATCCAAAGATCTTAAATTGAAACTTCATTTAACTCATAGCCTCCCTTCAAAGTACTGCATGGCGAGATCGTCCGTGACATTATTGGATCTGGGATCAGGGATATTTTTTGTGTATTTTTAGCATTATTTGAAAATAAACTGACACAAGCTTCATGCTTGCTCTGACCTTTGCCTATTTTAAGATCATATTGAAGCCTATAATTAGAGGAGCAAGTACCCTGATGTGAATGATGTAAGATAGTTCCCTGAGATATATTGATACAGCTATTGGGTAATACGGATTGATTACATGCGACTGAGAGCGTAGTGCTTGACTATCCTCAATTCAAGACTTCCATTTCTTGTATAGTATAGGATTGAGTTGTTTAAAATCATCACTAAAGTTATTTACGATCTTACTTTGTATACCCTGAGGACTCAAGCTGCTTTAGCATGCCTTTTTCTTTAGCTGCTATTCTATTGACGACCATTTTGCAATGGAAACTACGATTATAACAACTCATACCTGTTACTAGAGCCAATGTATGAGCAAAAGTGTTGATATCGTAAAAATATAGTTAAGCCTTACTCTTTCTTTTTGGTTAATTTTTCTCTTTTCCTGATAAAATTATTAGATTTTCTGAAGAAAATATTCCCACTTTTTCTGAGAGCCAAAGGTTTTACTAGACCCTTAATAGCAAGGCTTACTGAAAGGAGAGTTCTTATCGTCACTCTTTGTGGAATCATCAAGCTGGAGTATCTGAATCTTCTTATTTTTCTTGATTTTACTATTTTTACTAAAATTCCTATTTTTGTTAAGCAAGATACTTGGTTATTAAAGCACATTTTCAGAGTGAGGAGAATTTGACGCTGCTCTTGAAAGATTTGTTCCTGGATATCTTGTTCTTGCCTGATTGGGATATGTTTACTTGCTTTTGAACGCAATCGTCATGAGGATTATTGGTCGAGTTTTTAGAGATACTTCCTAATCTTGAGACATTTCTTGTGGGATAGTCATAATCTAGATTTTCATCCTTATCTCTATTCTAAACTGATTAATTTGACTGATATTACAAGCTTCTTTTTATAAACTATGAGTTTCTTAAATTTCTTTCTAATTTTTCAAAACTTGTCATCATTTTTCTTAAATTTCTATAGAAAAAATATATCAAAAACCAATCCATATGCATCACCCAAAATTAACTTCAAATTTCTCTTTTTTTCAAAAACCAAAAATCCTATAGTTCAAATTTCAACGCTCTCTTCCCTAAACACCTCCAAAACGTTCTAAATTACTACCCAAACTCCATACATTCACATATTCTTTGACACCTCTTGATTCCTCTCAAAATCTTTTATCCATCAGGGGGCGAATATCCATTGCTGTACAACTTATTTTCGATTTTTCTATTGATGATTCAAAACCAAGTACTTTTCAAAGGAGTAATAACCAACTGCATCGGCTTCAAGGGCACATCACTTTGAGCAATAGCTTCTGACTCCTTAACCGGAGTATTGCTCTTTGGAGAGAGATTAGAAACTCCTAAAGAAGCATTCCTGTAGGATATATTAAAGATAAGTTACTTTAAGCTCTGGATTGATTTATTAATGTTTCTAGCTTCCCCAAGAAACTTCAATTTCCTTGAATGGAAAAACCTAAGGCTAGCCTGCAAGTTTTTAAATGTGTTGTGCCTGAGATATAGACAAATGGCTTACTTAGTATCCCGAGACTTTGATCTATTCAATAAGTGCAAACTCTTACTTAGTATTTTGGTTAAGCTGAGAAATCACTTTATTGAAAGAAATCTGCCTTCCCGAGTTCTAAACAATGATACTACTCATTACTTTTGAGGAATCCCTGCGATTTTTAAAAGTGAGATGCTGCCTATTTTTGGGAAATTAGAATCGTTTTATCAGATAATATATCCTTATTTTCCTCCAGTACTGTCATCTCTGTATTAAATATGATTAATTTGATAAATACATAAGACTGTAAGTGCGAACTGATATATCATTAGACTATAGAGAATCAATAAAGTCTTTAAAATTAGAATAATTCAATGATCAATGCTCATCACCCGCTAGAAATCTACCAATTTTTTACTAACTTTTCTCTCATAGATTTGTTAAACAGTTAAATAAAGAATAAATCTCTTTGAAGACTAGATATTTCTACTCCTTTAACAAAGCGGTGTGAAAAATACAGTATAAATCTCTAATCTTCTTAACACCAAATTCCCAAAAAATTGGCAAGTCTAAATTCCGCCAAAATGTCCAAATCTTAACGGGAAGGAAATTGGCCATTTTCTCATTGAAAATTCCATTTTCACTATTATTCCTGTCAAGTGACAGGCTAAGTTGTTTCTGAAGGAAATAAGCTTTGTAAGAAGCTAAGCTGCTTTAGGCTTATTAAGCATAGTTTTCTTGCTAAAATATGAGGGAATGAAGTCGTAATAGAAGGATTATTGCCGCTTCAAGCATATGGGCCAGCTTAGACAAGCTCTTGTGTTGCATTAGAAGTTAAACCTTGGATTTATAGGAAGATAAAGGATTTTGGCACTTACTCGTTGAAGAGAACATTCTTTTTGGTGGGATTTAGGACCATAGAGTAATTTACTAACTCTAGAATAGGGATTAGGAGGGAGAAGAGGAAAAATATTACCTGCCATATTTTAAGTGAAAATTATAATTAGATGGGAGTAGGTTCAATTGTGGGTACAAAAAGGGGTTTTGGGGTTTTGGGGTTTTGGGGTTTTGGGG